GTCATCAAAATACATAGTTTTGTCATCATTAAAAAGGAGGAGATTGTTAGAACAAGATTTGGTTTTGCAATATTATCTCTGAGTTTTGATGATAACAAATGAGTATATTTGTATGAACAATTTTGATACTCTAATGTTTGTTATTTTTGAGTATTTAACAAACAGGTTCTGCTTCTGATGAATGGCGTGGCCAGGACATTAGAATAGAATTAGTTTCGCTTCTGCGCTACACAAGTTTTGATGAACAGTAGTAAGACACTCCAGAAGACTCTGGAGTGTAGACTCTGATATAAAGTTTAAAGAAACCAGTCAGAAGATCTAAGGATAGAAGTTCTACTAAAGTCTAGATGCTAAAGACTCATGTTTTTAAAGACAACATGTTCTAAAAAAACCAGTCAGAAGATCTAAAGACATAAGTTCTACTTAAGTCCATATGCTAAAGACACATGTTTCTGAAGACAACGTGTTCTACAGAAACCAGTCAGGAAATCTGAAGATAGAAGTTCTACTTAAGTCCAGATGCTAAATACTCAAGGTTCTATAGACCCAAGGCTCTAGAAAAGATTCTCAAGACCAAGTGCTAAAGACTCTGAAGATGAAGTTCTGAAGACTTGAAGTTCTAAAGACCCAAGGTTATGGAAAAGATTCTCAAGACCAAGTGCTGAAGTTTCGAAGATAAGGTTCTGAGTGAACAAGTTCTGACGACTGAAGACTTGATTACATGGAGATTTAAATGTCACGATTCTACTCATGCGTCAACCATATACCATCAGAAGCCTCTAAAGTTCAGAAGACAAATGTTACCGTTAGCAATGAAAAGTACACTGTACGAAAAAGCCTTATCCCACTACCTCTCCACTAGCTTGAATTATGGAAAAGAAAAAGATGTGGCAGTACTATTTTCATCATTGTGTGACGACTCTCTTTCAATAGCCAACGACTCTATTTTTCTTGGCTATATAAGAAAAGGATCATATGCTTAAAATGTTGTTGGTGTTCAAATGTTTAAATGGAAGTTATAATTGTTGGAACACAACAAAATTATCAACCAGTATAACAACAACAAGAACAAAAAATAGTTTTTGAATTATATTGTTGATAATTACAATATAACAATGAAGTCATTGATTCACCACGTGCTTAATTTCATATACTGCAATAAGTTTGGTAAGCTACAGAAGATAATGAAGATGCTCACGGAAGCTCCAAATACAAGTCCACAACATGAAAGTTGTGCTTCAAAGTGATCATTGAATTAAATAGAACAAGGGTTGTTGTCCAGAATGTTCTAAGATGAATCAAGATGAAGAAGTTATTCTCTTTACTACATCAAGATCAACAAAGCTTCCAAAAGCTTATGAAGAAGAAGACTTCAGTAATTCAAGTGCTTTTGGTTGTTGTCTATGAAGAATCTACTTGAAGAAAAGAAGACCACACATTTGAAATAAAATACAATTAATATTATTAGTGTATATTAGGATCTTCTGATGTACTTAATTGAGTTTACATTGCTTGTGTAGAAGCATTCTATTGTAAACAAACCTTGTAAAAACAAACAGTTGTTTGTTCCTTCTAAAGGACTAGTTAGGTCAAAAGCTTTAGAAGGTATTGTGTTTCTTCTAAAGGACCAGTTAGGTCAGAAGCTTTAGAAGGTAATGTGTTCCTCAAAGGACCGGTTTGGTCAGAAGCTTTGAGAAGACTAAGATGGTAGTCTTAGAGGTAGTTAGTCACAACAGCTGGTTGTGCAGGATGTAATCAGTTTGATTATAGTGGATAAATCCTTGAGTTCAAGAAGAAATCACCTTGGTAGGATGGACTGGACTAGCTTGAGGATTCCTCAAGTGAACCAGGATATATCACGTGTTCTTTACTCTTGCTTATGCTTTATTATATATGTTTCCATAATATATTCGAAAGCATCACTTAACGCAACAATGTTAAGAGACGGAAGTTTTCCATGAATGGAAAACTCAATTCAAACCCCTCTTTCTTATGTTTTCTTCACATCTTTAAACATATTCTACACAGTCTCAATCATAATATATCAATTGAGTTCTCACACCCAACACACCAATCAATCACAACTCAACAATTGTAACTTAAGAAATATGCATATGACTCGTTATGCAATGTAACTCGTATATGCAACTATATACATATGCATGTGGTACCATATCATCAACAATTAATTCACTCAGGAACATGGTTCTCCCTAGTCGAACCTCGAATTTATCCTGCTCGGATTCGAGACAAGTCACCAATCCACCATGCTAAGATTACAACTTGTCTCTTTTATCAACAACAACGACATCAAGAATGCATGTCAAAACACGTCAATGCAACAACAACATAAGATTTAAAGTCCCATCCTGACAATAAATAACATGCATTGACCCACGATAATAGTTCACCCTACTCAAACTTTTATCCTACAACACAACAACAATATCAATATCATCCAACATCAATATCATTCAACATTTCAACATCACATACTCACCTTCAGCCAACCACCACAACAATATACTTATAAAATCAACAAGTATTCAATAGAAAGCATAGTAATCAGACACAACATCATCACTCGTCTATACACAACCATCTCTCACCAAAATTAATAAAATCAATTAAAACTATTTGTAATCGTTTAAATCACGCCAAACAACCTCTAACACTATCCAACGGTAGCCAACAGTCTTGAAAACTCAAAAGAATAAAAAATAACATTTTTATGAGTTCAAAACATCTCAACAAAATATTTTTATTAATTTATTCTATACTCTTAACTCGTAAAAAGTTAAAACAATATATAATTATAACTTGAAAGAGTTCCCAAAGAACTCTAAACAACTCTACAATAATTCATACAACTCTAAAGAAACTCTAAAGTGCTTAAAATTGCTCTACTAACAACTCTTGCATATAAAAATAACTCTTATGAACTTAATTAGTCGACGATCTGACTCAAGTAATAATAAAACAACTCTAAAAGGTCAAATACCTTTAATTTTAATTTTACTACTCGTCAGATTTAATTCTAAACAACTCGAAAGCACCTCTTGCAACTCTAAACAAATTAAAATATAACACTTAGTAAATCAAAACAACTCTCACAACTCCATTAACAACCCTATCAACTTTATTGACAACTTTGACATGATAAGAAAATAACTTAAACTAACTAAACAACTCAAATATTTAACTCTAACTTAAAACTCCTCAAAATATTATACTAATAATATTAAATCATTATAATATATATTTATCAACATTCATCAAAATCAATAAATAAACAAACTCTATTGGAGGTTAAGGACTCATCTACCCTACCTCTCATGCATAAACCTTTTTTATTAAAAATTACTCTTCTCTTACCTTAGATTTCTCTTACAAAATTCTTTCAAGCTCTATTAATGGGCGTTCTTCTTATGTCTTCTCTTATCCTAGTCTCCTTCTCCTCTTTTTTAAGTTTCTACGTACGATGAAACTGATTCTTTTCTCACTTCTCTATTTTTCTAATAAACCTATTTTCTCTTAATTAAGCTTTCTCTCTTCTATCTCCAACTAATTCTCATAATGACCTGTTTGCCTTTAATTTCTCTACACATTTTTTTATTTAAATAATTAAATCAAATCATTATTTTAACTAATAAAATAATTTTAATTTATTTCTTCTTCCTCTAATTACTCTCTACACCTTACCATAAGGTCACACCTTTTCTCTCACTCATATTTATTTAATCATCCACATATAATAATTAAATAAAAAGATAAAATTATAATTAAATTAAAATAAAATAATTTATTAAAAATAGACCGTTATAATCACCACCTCATCTATCTCTCCCAAGTCTTTGAAAATGGAATTCATCTCCTTTGCTCCATGAGTATATGATATTCTAGTGAAGAATTAGGTTGATATTTTTGACATATTCATATCTGTTTATCTTTCGCTTAATTGAATCCCATCTTATTCCGTTAAAACCCTTAAATTTTGCTTAATTGAATTCCATCTTATTCCGTTAAAACTCTTAAATTTCGCTTATTTCTTATTTATTATTAACCAGAAAATACTTAGAAAGAGTTCAGAGCATCTCTCTAAAATATTTTGTTGGTGGATTGATACTAATTCTTTTCCTTGGTCTATGATGCACAATTAGTTTAAGTAACGTAATCAAAAGTATTAAAGTAGTACTAATAATCTTAATTTGATAAGAAAATTATATAAATAAGTTTATAAAATATTATTCATTGATAATATAACCAAGAGAAACTAAAATATATAAAAAATAATAATAAATAGTAAAATATATAATAGAAAAAATATTAATTTTTAATTGGTAGTAATTAATGATAATTTTTTTAAATAAATTTAAAATTAATTGATTATTAATTTTGTAGAATTCACACCTAAAAATAACTCTACCAACCGCAATTTTAAGTACTAAAAAAAGATATTTGCAAACGCCAATTTCTTACACCCCATTCACACACAGTCTATTCCCTTTTTCTTTCTTTCACTCTTTCATTTGTAGTCACCAATGACACTATCAAGATTAAAATCATTTCTAAAAGTGGAAAAGATAAATTCAACGCGTTAACCACTGAAAAAAACATAATATTTAAGGTCAACTTTGACGTTACCACCATTTTATATTTTTTTATACTTGATAACAAATTCTAACGACTCTTAATATTCAAAATCAATTTTGATATATTTTTATTTTATAAAACTTTACTAAAAGTCTTCACCAAACTATTTTGATTTATTCAAACATCATATTTCTTACTTGCCAAAATAAATTGATCCGTTTTCTTAGCAGAAACCTTCATGCCGCAATTATTTTTGACTTTTCTAATTTTTGTAACATTCAAAAAGAAAATTCTATTAGACTATGACAATTTCTTTCATTATCTTCTCTACCAATACTTGTCTATATATATTTGCCATGCATGCATGTTCAATTCACAACACTTCTCAATTTTATTTCAAAACCAAGATGATTTCTCTTACCTTCTTTTTAGCTACGATTGTGTTCCTCGTTTTCGTTCTTCAACTTTTCTCATACTTCAAAAGAAACAAAAAATCTCATCCTAATTTACTACCTTACCCTCCAAGTCCACCAGCAATACCAATATTTGGCCATCTTCATCTCCTCAAACCACTCATTCACCATGCCTTCCGCGACCTCTCCGATCGATATGGCCCTCTTATATCCCTTCGACTTGGCTCCGCTCGATTCATCGTTGTTAACACTCCATCACTCGCCAAAGAGTTTCTCAAAAATAATGAGCTAACTTTCTCGCATCGTAAAATGAACATAGCCATCAACATGATTGCTTATGATGATGCAACTTTTGCTTTCGCCCCTTATGGAGAATATTGGAAATTCATTAAAAAGCTCAGCACTACTGAGCTTTTAGGTGCCCGAACAATAGGACAATTCCTACCAATCCGAACCCGGGAACTCCAACAACTCATTCAAACATTGGCGAAAAAATCTAAGGCTGAAGAAAGTGTGAACCTTTCCCAAGCTTTGTTGAAGCTTTCTAACAACATAATATCAAAGATGATGCTGAGCATTGAGGCCTCAGGGACAGACAACCAAGCAGAAGAAACTAGGGCTTTAGTTCGCGAGGTAACAGAAATATTCGGCGAGTTTAATGTTTCGGATTTTATAGGAATTTTCAAGAACTTCGACTTGAAAAGTTTAAAAAAAAGAGCCTTGAACATACACAAGAGGTATGATGCTTTGTTGGAGAAGATTATTTCTGATCGCGAGAATTCGAGAAGAATAGCCAAGTTAGAAGGTGGTTATGAGGATGAAGAGAAAGTGAAAGATTTTCTAGACATTTTGCTTGATGTCTCTGACGAGAAAGACTACGAAGTAAATTTTACTAGAAACCATATCAAATCATTGATCTTGGTAATATATACCTTCTCCTCTCATGCTTATTATTAATTCTTTTTACTACTAGAAACTCGCACACAATCTTCACTATTAAGGTTCGTTGGTGTTGACGTTCAAACTAGCAGTATTGATTCGTGCGTTTTACATGTGGATTTTAAATTTCCTGCAGAATTACCTAGAGTATTATCTGTGCTTTTATCCGTGCGAAAACAGCCACAACAAATACCAATATCGATACCATTATTCATCATTTTTATGTTAAAGATCAATAGTTAATTTACACTGACAACCATAATCAGTATAATGACACTCATAACCAAAATCTCAAAGGCCGTTTCACGAACCTAATTTGTCGGGTGCAAATAATTTCTGTGGATTTACCTGCAGATTTAACCATGAATTTACCTGCGGATTTTTTTTATTTATTATTAATATTTATTAGTTTATATATTTCAGGATTACTTTACAGCGGCTACTGATACTACTGCCTTATCATTAGAATGGACAGTATCAGAACTGTTTAACAATCCAAAGGTGTTGAAAAAAGCTCAAGAAGAAGTTGAGAGAGTAACAAGAAATGAAAGACTAGTGTGTGAAGCAGATAGTTCAAACCTTCCTTATATACATGCAATCATAAAAGAAACAATGAGGCTTCACCCTCCTATACCGATGTTAATGAGGAAAGGATCAAAAGATTGTGTTGTTGATGGAAAAATGATTCCAAAAGGATCATTGGTTTGCATGAACATTTGGGCTATGGGAAGAGACGAAAAGATATGGGAAAATCCATTAGAGTTTAGGCCAGAGAGATTCATAGAAAGTGATATAGATGTGAAAGGACATCACTTTGAGTTGTTGCCATTTGGTTCTGGAAGGAGGGCTTGCCCTGGTATGCCTTTGGCCATGCGTGAATTGCCAACTTTTATTGGAGCTTTGGTGCAATGCTTTGAGTGGAAGATGTTTGATTCTGATAGTAAAATCTTAGGTTATGGAAAAAAGATTGATATGGATGAACGGCCAGGATTGACTGCTCCTAGGGCTAATGATCTTATTTGTATTCCAGTTGCAAGGTTCAATCTTGATCCTTTGCTTCAACTTTAGTAAAGGGAAATTTGGGACAAAGAAGTGCAATTATTGACAATGTCTTTCTATTTAAAAAGTGATTACGTATGTAATTCAATTGATATTTTGTATTTTTATTTGTTTAATTTGTTTATTTAAGAGTGAGAATACGTCAGAAGAATTATAGGGTCAGTTTACATAAGCTCAAGTTAGGATATATCTTTTTTTTTTTAAATAGAAATAAATATAGATTAGACCGACTTATTTAAATAAATATGAATAAATTTATTATTAATACTATATTATATTTTTGTACTTTTAATTTAACTATGTTTTTATAAATTTTCTCAAACAGATAATATTATAAAATTTATGTTATTATGTAAACTCGAATAAATAAATACAAACAAATATTTAGTATTATTAATTTTTTAATTTATATATATATATATATATATATATATATATATATATATATATATATATATATATATATATATATATATATATATATATATATATATATATATATATATATATATATATATATATATATATATATATATATATATATATATATATATATATATATATATATATATATATATATATATATATATATATATATATATATATATATATATATATATATATATATATATATATATATATATATATTTTATTATTTATTTGTAAATGTTTAAATAAAATAGTTTTTTAACTTGACCTCTAAAAAGTCATACTTAAACTTAAAAATAAATCTATAATAAATTACCGACCAGAATATATGAACAACAAGAATGACACAAGAACTTAAAAGCATTAGAAGAAGCAAATTTTATATTTGAAAATATCTAACGAGTGGTTGCAATATTGCATATGCATAAAGTGTTGGAAGAAGCTAAACTGTGAATCTTCCTGCTTCATGCACAATTAGAGGGTCTTGTCATGTGAAAACAAGTATGTTTTCAATGTTGATCCAAATGAAAGATAGTTGAAGACAAATCAATATGACGGAAAATGTAGATGTGCATAATTGCATAGTTTTTCCTCATTCATTTACAAGTATTTAGTGGTTTCGTGAATGCATTTCAGAATGATATTGAAAATATATTTTTGAAATAATTTTGTCATAAAAATAAGATTTGATTTTAAAACGAATAAATTATATATGTTTAAAGTTGTTTAGAAATACATTTTCAAGAACTTTTTTTTTGCAATAATTAGGTATTAAAAAAAATCGCAAATAATCACATTTTGAAAAAAATTACGCAAATAATCATGTTTCAGATGACTCCCCAAAGGAGGAGTCATCTCACTTGGCGCCTCCACCTAGGGTTTTGCCCTAGGCGCCATCTCACTTGGCTCCTAGGACAAAACTAGGGCAAAACGCTGTTTTTATAAATAATTCGTCCGTTTCTCCGTCATTTCTCACACTTTCTCGCACTGTTTTCTTATTTTTTTACTCTGTTATTTGCGTTATGACATCGCCCATGATTTTTACCAGAGATGGTTACGTTATCTTCTCCGCCACGAAACCTGCGATGAAAATGAAATTCGGGCACATTCACTCCATGGAGCGTCTGAAGCGGGAGTTGATGCGATGGCTAGATGGAGACATTGCGGTGGGGGAAAAATTCGAAGGATCCCGCGAAGACGAACAACAACCTCACATGCGACAGGAAGACCTAATGTATGGTTGGAGGAAGTCAAAACAGACAGTGACGTAATGTTGATGATGCATGGGTCAGATGAAATTGTTTTAACAGTTGTAATTTCGTAGACGGAATATCGTGTTTTTTTTCTTATACGCGCAATATTTATTGTAGCAAATACTGTTAACGAAAAACCCTAATGTTTACAACATAATTAAAGAAAGATTTTATGTATTACAATTTTTATGTGGTCGAGGCAGACGCCCGATTCGGACAATTTTTGCGATTGTGTCCGACCTGGCGGCATAAACCACACTTTCTTTCCAGCTTGTCAAGTTCGTCCATTTCGGTTGTGATGCGCTTACTTTTGGGACGATCCTTCTTGTTCCTTCGCATTTGGTCATTGTGCCACACTATTTCGCCGTCGTATGCAGGCCAATAATCTGGTTTTGCTACCAAAGGAAAGTTGTTGTTGTAAACGTTGAGCAACGTTTCAGATTTGTAAATGTGTGACAGAAGTTGTAGCGCGTCTTGATGGGTATAAGCACAAGCGGCAATGACATGAGAGCAAGGCATACGAAACGCTTGAAACTTGCCACAATCGCACCAACAAGAAGGTAGTATGACCCTATATTCTTGTCTTGGCAGGCCTTCGTTGTGGTCGATTGTTTCTTTCACAATGAAGTTGTGGCTGTGTCGGTCAAACCGTATAACCATATGAGTGTTGCCTTTGGCACTTTCTGCCTTAATGTACTTCATGCAGCTTTCACTTCATAGTTGTCCAGATTGCAACACCGCATTCCATATTTCACCTCTTTTGGCAAACAACGAAGCCATCCTAAAATACGTAGATTTTACCAATGCAGTGATCGGGAGGTTTCGTATGCCTTTGAATACCCCATTCATCGATTCAATAAGATTTGTTGTCATGTGCCCCCATCTTTGGCCATTGTCGTATGACCTAGTCCATTTTTCCACCGGAATATTGTCGATCCACCTACCGGCTTCCGGATTTGACAAACGGATCTCATTGCGGTAATATTTGAACGTGGGTTGTGTCAATGCATATCACGCATTCATATCCGCTTTCCTTAGTGTTTTGTCCTTGATCTCCCTCGTGAAATTCTGGACGATATGCCTAATGCAATAGACATGCATAGAAGGAGGGTCATGCCAACTGTTTGCAGGATTATTGTAGGCACTTTCAATGGAGGCATGTATGTCCGAGATCAAACAGAGATCTGGTTGAGGAGCCACGTGTGTTCGCAGGTTTTTCAAAAAAAAGCTCCAAGCACCACCGATCTCCCCCTCGACTAGGGCAAAGGCAATTGGGAAATTGTTGTTGTTGCCATCTTGTGCAACTGCCATCAGTAGCGTGCCTTTGTATTTCCCATATAACCAAGTCCCATCAATTTGTATAATTGGTTTGCATGATGCAAACCCTGTGATGCAAGGTTGAAATGCCCAAAACACTCGACTGAATATTCCATTTTCGTTTAGTTGACTACCATTTTGGGCGTATGCTGGCACTGTTTCCAGAACGTAAACAGTACCCGGAGAATAAGTCTTGAATGCATTCAGGTAGCGAGGAAGTTCTTGGTATGACTCCTCCCAGTTTTCGTACACCTTTTCAATCGCCTTAGTCTTTGCTAACCACGCCTTACAGTAAGACGAAGTATAGTGTGAAGATGCAGTTCAAAATGCATCAAGAGATACTAAGTGATCCGACTTGTTTGTCCCCGTGGCATCTCAAAAGGGTCGACGCCCAGTGGGGTCTTACCAACTGGAAATACTTTGCTCCAGAATGGTATAAGATGTGGCAGAGGCGTCACCGACATGTCTTGCAATTCCCGGTTTTCCTCAATCATGGTAATATGCGACACACGGATCAATATTTATCTTGGTACAGGTCGGTTAGTAACCCTGAAATACACGTGTCTCATCCAAGGTATTTGGTTGAACCACGAACACAATGGGCACAACCCTCGTTTCCCCAATAACAAACCCAACACACAACAACCTCCCACCAACCGCCCAGACGAAACAGAACCACAAACACCCAACCACGGTCCCCACCACAACACAATTACACCCAAATTCCCCACAACCAACCACAATCACCACCTCAGTACCAATACCCCCATATGCCTCACACACAACCGCAATACCAATCACAATACCAACACACCCGCATACCCCACACACAATTTCAGTCTTTTGTATATCCCAATATGGGCCCCTCAACATCCAGCCTTAGCCCTGATCTGGGAATGTCGGAAGATTACGAACCAACCGACCCAACTTACCATCAACCACAGTATCACCAAACCACCCAACATCCTCAATACCAAACACCCCAAGATCCATTTCCTTTCTACCCCCCGTACTCATACGATCAATGCTACAGACCCACTATGGAACCCCACCCATCTCCAACACGACCAAACTTTGAGGGTATGGGTAACCAACTGTACCAAAGCGGATCTTCTAGATATGGAGATCTGACTGATTTCATGGATCCGGAACGCATTGACTTCGCTGGGCCATCAACCCTGCACAGCAGGAAACGCGACGACACCCAGCACGGGAAAGGCGAGGACGGGGATGCGGAACCGGGGGTCATTATCGGGTTCTGGGGGATCACTGATTTATCTGGGTTTTTTTATCTGTTTTTTTAATGTAATACATATGGGTGTAATCATTTTTTTAATAAAAAGTCAATTTTGTTGATCCTGTATCGAATACGCACCGCACCGGACTGGAAAAAAAAACGCGAAATTTGCCCTAGAATTGCACTAAGGCGCCATCTCACTTGGCTTAGAGTATGCCCTAAGCACCTAGGCGCCAAGTGAGATGGCGCCTCCCCTTAAATAATGGGTGTAGGCGCCAAGTGAGATGGCTCCTCCTTTGGGGAGTCATCTGAAACATGGTTATTTGCGTAATTTTTTCCGAAACGTGGTTATTTGCGTTTTTTTAATACATAATTATTCAAAAAAAAATTCATTTCCAACATTTAAGAATATTTTTGAAATTTCATAAAGTAAATTAGAGATACATGAGATACATTAAGAAATTTTCTAATGATATTTGAAAGGTACAATCTCATAATTAAATTACAACTTCTATGATTAAAATATCATACATTTATTTCAATCCATATTCACATATCAAAAAGAACAAAATTCAACATAATAAATTGTTATAATAACAAATAAACAGATGAGTTCAAATAAAGAAGATTTAAATACACTTTTAATCTTTCTATCACTATTAAAAATATGATATTTGAGAAAAAGTTTTTACATCAAATATAAAAATATATGATGTAAAAAATATTTGTCAAAAAATTTTATATCAGACATTTATTTCTAATGATATAAAAAA